TACCACTCATAACATCTATAGATTCCCTAAAAGATTTCAAAGTTAGTGATTCAAATTCTTTAGATGCCGATAGATAAATGGATTTATTATCACTTACAAACTATAAAGCTAAGCTAATCAGTCCTTTAGCAGGAACAACAAAATCAGTAAAGACTCACTATTATATATAGAATAAGCAACAATAACAAAAATAAATCAAGTAAAAACAAACAAAAACATAGAACTTATAATAGAATAATATTTTAAATTGTTTTTCTGTTTTTAAAATTTAAACTTTTTTTACTATATGTTTAGCTTTAGACACTACAAGTAATCTGTCTCTAAGAGTTCCCCACAAATGCTCTTTTCATGTTACCTTCGCGTCCATAAAGTTTATGCGACTTCTTTACGTTCTGTAGGGCATAAAAAAAGCAACATCAGCAATCGTTGTCGTTATTTTAATAATCGCGGATATGTGTACGCTAAGTTTAGCATTAGAATGTTATTGTTTTTCTTGATTTCTGCTTTTGGGTGTTCTCATTGTTTTGGCTCTTTTCTATTTAAGCTTTTTGTTTATTTCAGGCTATTTTCTAGGCTGCTATGGAAAATCCTGATAAAACCTGTCTGACTGCAGCTGTAGGCGAGCATTGGAATGAATGAATGCTTTAATCACAATCATAATGATAATCACATTCTTAATTATTATTATTATTATTTCAAGAACTGAGAAACTGAAACTGTGTGCGCTGCTATACAGAGTATATGAGGTAAGAGCAAAGCTAAATATCAGACTAATTGCCATCCAAAAATAGTAATAAAGTACTAGTGTACCGACATGAGAAGTGCAAAATAATATTTAATAATTTATTTTTATTTATTCATTTATTTGTATAGCAAATCATACTGCCGTTTTTTACAACTACGAAAAATCTTGAAACATAAAAAGAACTTAAGATTAAAGAAATGCAGCAATACAGTACAAATTGTAAAGGGATATTTTATTTTTTTAGAAATAGGCCGTTGTGCTATGTTTCCAAATGGAAATGGTTTTATTAAATTTTAAACAGTTTTCGATGGATATTGTTCGACTTAACAGTATTTTTTGAAATACTGAAAATAAAGCTACACAGAAAACACGCTTACTTCTGAGGCTCCCAAAGAATCTTCAAAATGATGCTAAAAACTTTTAATATCTGTCACAATTCTTCCATAAAGCTTGCTGAATCGACTGCATATATTATACCAATTGCTCGATTTGAATTCAAAAAATAATTCGAAGAAGATGCTTTTTTTATTGTTGTTACCTCAGAACTTTCGAGTGGGTGAACCGATTTTGATGATTCCTTTTTATTTGAAAGTGTGGACGAGCTTCTGATTATGGGATCACTGGGCGCGTTCAGCAGGTCGTAGCGATTTGCGATTTGTGATCGATGATTACTGATTTCACCTGCTGACCGCTGTGATTTGTGATTCGGATAAGTAAAATATCAATCGAAATCACAAAACACAAATTATGATTACTTGATTTAAATTCTTCGATTTTGACACTAAATAGTCCGAATTTTGTCTAGACCTTTGCGGAAATATATAAAATGGCAAAATGCAGCCCAACACGCTGTGACTTTTTGACCAAAAATACTAAAATGAGAAACTAACGGAAGCCATTTTTGGTTTAAAATCTTAATTATTTGATTTCAATTTGTTTTTCTAGGATACAAGTTTAATATTTTTAGAAAACCTTTGGTACTTTCCATTGTATTATTTTATATGATTATATTAGCACTAAATTACTGAGTATTGTTAACATTTCAAGTCAACAAAACACGTATCAGATTAATAGTTGTATCCCTCGTCACATTCAATGCATAATGGAGCCGAGAGTAGGGCATAGTCCAAGACTGTGGCTGACATTGTTTGGAGCTGGTGAGCATCGCTTTACTTTGATTATGACATGGCGAATTTGACGCTACCGTTTTGGAATATATTGATGATTTAAGCAGCGCGTCGCACGCTGATTTCTGTGCTCGGGGCATAAGCGAAACTTGAGCCGAGCGGCACTTTTGAGGCCCCAGCCACTTCAACCTGTTGTGGCTCATGTAATGGCCCTCAAGTGATAGCACTTTGCGTGGCTTACAGAGTACAAGGCGCTGACTTGAACCGGAACTTGAAGTGTTCTACTCGCTGGTGGCTCTCCAGCGATGATGTTACCATTAATGGCCCATCTGCATGTACCTACATGTGTACGTCTGTCTATTTGTTTGCTTTGCCATAATTAGTTAAAGCCAAGAATTTTGAGGCAACTACCAAGGCATCATTTGAATATACAATCCAGCTTATACGAGTACGGCAGTACAGTGTACGGTGCAGAGCGCCCACACCCTCAATCAGTGCTATAGCCATTAATTAACAGGGCACAGTCGAGTTAAAATTGCAAAGATTTTTGGTGCATGTAGCAGCCACGTATGTATAATTAAACAGAAACCAAAAAGAAAAACAAAAACAAAAAGCGAAAAAAAATTAAAAACAAAGAGCAAAAAAGAGGCAAACTGAAACTGTGGCTACAATGAAGACGAAGCGACGACGTTGAACAAAAAACAATTAAAATTGAGCATGGAATGTTTGCAGCGTTAGTTGGTCAGCGATCAGCAATAGTCGGGGCTATAGCCCGGCTATAAAATCAGCTCACCACCGAATCGCAGGCAACAGTTCGAGCCAGCTCGTCGTCGTTGGCAAGCGTTGCCAAAGAGATTCAAGCAACACATTCTGATTTATTTTGCTATTTTTTTTCTAACTACACACTCCAATATCTTTCTTGTGCAGTGCAAAATTAAAATGGTGCGTAAACAAAAAATGCTAAAAAGCATCAACAAAAAAAAAAACAATTGAGAATTCCACACAGGATAATACCTACAAATCTAAAAAGATATGCCATAGAAGAATATATAATCTCAGTAATGGGGTTTTCAAATTGTAAAGAGATTCTTGAATATACGTATATAAAGAAAAATTTACTTTTGTACAAAAATTAGTCAAATTATTCGCAAAAAAAAAACAATTAAAAATTCCACATATAGACAAGGAGAAGTTCGTAACAATAAGTCGGAATATGTGATGTCACAGAGCTAGGATATTATCTACAAGTGCAATACAAGCATAAAAAATCTTAGTAATGGGGTTTTCCAATTGTAAAGAGATTCTTGAATATGTATTAGGTGTATAAAGAAATATTTACTTAAGTACAAAAATTAATCAAATTATCAACAAAAAAAACAATTGAGGATTCCACATATAGCCAAGGAAAAGTCGGAATATGTGATGTCACAGAGCAAGGATATTTATTATCTACAAGTTTGAAAAAATATGCAATACAAGCATAAAAAATCTTAGTAATGGGGTTTTTGAAATTGTAAAGAGATTCTTGAATATGTATTAGGTGTATAAAGAAAAATTTACTTTTGTAATTATTTAAAAATTAATTAAATTTAACTTGAAAATCAAGCAAACAGGAATTCGCAACATAAGGTCGAGCACTCCTTCAGATATGTGTTATTATCATGAGAGCTATGATAATACCTTAAAGTTTAATGGAAACAAAATATGCAATAGAACCAAGTATACTTATAAAATGTTAGTGAAGGCGGTACTTAAAATAGTGTAGGGAGTGAAGAGAAAAAATAACTAACGTTATAAAGAATAGAACTCAAAATAATTGAAAACCTTGCATAGAGGGACTTTGACTTAGTCGCATACTTCTGAAAATATATTTGTCAATCTTATGTAACACTCGAACTCGTATAGCAATACGATTCAGTAAAGAAGACAATTTTTCAAATTTCTGTCCATGTTTCAAATCATTCTTTAAAAAAAAAACTAACGAATCTAATAGGAATAAATGGTACTGCAGCAATAATTAATCCTTAAAATGGACAAACTAAATCGAATTCCGTAAGAAAGAGCTAATAGCAGTTCAATAGAGTGAAATATGCTTTAAAAACTACAAATCATATTTCGAGTTGCTTATAAAAAGCTTCCAAGCTGTGTTGATTGCGGCAAAACAATGTGCGTTCAAGGAATATACATAGTTCCTATTCCTTTCAGATTTCCCAGAGGCACTGCACTATTTGTATCTGCCAGCGATCACAATTTATTTGTAGAGTCTATACAACTATATATACAACGAACTTCTATAATATAGACAAGCATTATCATTTCCAAGAGCAATACCGAATTGCGAATATTGCTAAAAAGTTGTATAAGTCGACAGCTAAATGGATTATGTCTATGCAAAGTATATAGATAGTATAGTATAGATCCCAAACTTATATAAAATTCAAATTTGTTTAATTAACGATCTTTGGAGTATCAGGCTTTAAATTGAAGACAATTGCTTTCTTATTTAAGAAACTATTGTTGCAAAGTATATAGATAGTATAGTATATAGATAGTATAGTATAGTATAGATCCCAAACTTATATAAAGTCTAGCGTTATATCATTTCTATTTCCTCACTTTATAAAATTCAAATTTGTTTAATTAACGATCTTTGGAGTATCAGGCTTTAAATTGAAGGCAATTGCTTTGTTATTTAAGAAACTATTGTTGCAAAGTATATAGATAGTATAGTATATAGAGAGTATAGTATAGTATAGATCCCAAAAATATATAATCATCTAGCGTTATATCATTTCTATTTCCTCACTTTATAAAATTCAAATTTGTTTAATTAACGATCTTTGGAGTATCAGGCTTTAAATTGAAGGCAATTGCTTTGTTATTTAAGAAACTATTGTTGTTGAAGTAGCTTCGAATAATGAACAGCAATTATTACTGAAATGAAAAAGACATTTGTTTGTTGTCCAGTACGTCCATTAAAGTATAACTGATCGTTCCCACAAGCTGCATCTAAAAGCGAATGCTTGCCTTTCTCTAGAAAAGTGAAAAAAAGGCAATCAGAGCCAATCATATTCTGCTAGGGGCAGTTGAAATGATTTCGTTGAGTATCCTGCATTTCGTTTTAGGCTATGTCAAGGCTCCTTTTCACGCTGTCCTGCGTGCTGGCCACCTGTGCTGCTGGCCACTTATCGCAGAAGTATTTGCCCGCATCGCGTGCTGCCGCGCCATCCAATCAGTATCTGGCGCCACATGGCAATCAGCAGTTGCACTATCATGGCGTGAGCGGACAGGGTCATCCACGCAGCGGCGGTGGTTACGGCGGCCATGGTGGTGGTGGTGGTGGTGGTGGCCATGGCGGTGGCTTTGGCCAACGCAATGCCGGCGCTCAAATTCCCATTGTGCGCAGCGATTACGAGAGTGATGCGAACGGCAACTACAATTTCGGGTCTGTTTTAGTCGCTGGTGGATGGAGAAGAAAGGGTATTCTCACAGTCATGTGCTCTTCCTTGCAGTTTTGAGACGGGCAATGGCATACATCGCGACGAGACCGGAGAGTTCAACGGTGGCTGGCCCCATGGCTCGTTGGGTGTGCGCGGCTCCTACTCCTACACCGGAGACGACGGCAAACAGTATACGGTTAACTACAAGGCCGATAAGAACGGCTTTCAGGCGGAGGGCGCCCACATACCCACCTCCCACACCTCCCAACACGGCGGGTAAGTGTATATCCCGGTGCTAGAAGTGGAAGTCGACCCAAGATCTCATGTTAACTTTGTTGCAGAGCTCATCAACAGCGCAGCTCTGCTGGTGGCTATGGCGGTGGTGCCGGTGGCTACCATGCCGCTGCCTCCAATGCACATGCACCTTCCTCGCGGTATCTGCCCCCAAGCTATCGCCAGCGCCGGCACTACTGAAGGCTTCAAAGCCACAGACAATTGCATTTTTTTTATCATTCCGTTACTTTACTTTCTAGATAATTAGCTAAACAAGGAATCAAATTCTTTTTTCCTCTCCCCAAGCAATTTCTCTGTATTTTCTCAAATTTTTGTAAATCATTTAATGGCGGTTTTTGTTGCAAAATAAAAATTCTATTTTGTATAAGTACTTCATTAAGGCTGTTCACCATTTGTTCCTGGAAAATTACATTACCCCACAGATTGGAAGAAAATAGAGCTCGTCCGAGTCTTAGCAATCAGTATTAGACTACCATCAATGGTATTTTGATGGTAAAAAATTAATGTAAACAAGTGGAGAAGCTAAAATCGGGTGTCTCAACTTTGAAATACTCTGTACATACGTGTAGAATAATTATACGTGCATGTGTGTGTTTGTGTGTGTCTGTGTATGTCTCGTGTGCCTGTGCAAAGCAGTAACAACAACAACAGCTGCGGCCACTGATTGGTCATCATATAGGGCTATAACTTCCTGTTAAATCGGCCTATCATTACTTGGCATACGCACTCATAATCATTAACTGGAAGTATTTTTCGAATTTCAATGAAAAATTCCAAGAAATACGGGAGTTATGGAAAATCAGTGATTGCGTGGGGAGGGGGGAGGGAGAGAAATTCCAAAATACACATTTTCTGCGTATTCACATAAGGCATCTGGGACTAAAATTTGGTGTGCCTAGATCTTATAGTGTCTGAGATATAGGCGATTATGCGAATGGCGTTACGGAAAACCCCCCACAGAGGGAAATGGGGGGGGGGGGGGGGGGGAATAAAAAACAATAATAATAAACTCGTATAGGGACCTTTGTGCAAAATTTTGTGTCTCTAGCTCTTATAGTCTCTGAGATGCAGGTGTCCATACGGACGGACGGACGGACGGACAGACGGACAGTCGGACGGACGGACAGATAGACATAGATCGACTCGTGTTGTCATGCTGATCAAGAATATATATAGTAGTAATTAAGAGGTATACTCCAAAGTCTAAATGTTAAATGCATTAAGCTGGCAGAAGAAGCGTATCAGACCCCCTGTTATAGGTACATACTGACGGACCTGTCCCCCCGTATGAACGCCAAGAACTTTTAAGCCATAATTGGTAGTTTGACATATAGACTTGTCCCATCCACACGCAGGGCAAATTTTATATAAACAATACTTAATATAGCTGTCATAGGAACGATCGGAGTAAAGAGAGTAAGAACTTATCTGTTTATTACGAAATCGAACCCAAAATAGGTATTTATTAGTTGTTAATTATGCTTTATAACGGTCTAAAGTTTTATCAAAATCGAGGAACTATATCTTATAGTTGCCAAAGGAATCGGTGCAGAAATGACCTTAGTACCAGAAACTTTTTGGTTTTTTTTTTCTACAAGTAGATCGTCATCCAATTCGGTATTTATACTCTATACATGTAATGTACAAGAGTGTATTGGGTTTGCGGGAGCTGAAAAATGTAACAGGCAGAAGGAGGCGTGACAGACCCCACAAAGTATATATATTATTGATCAGCATGACAAGACGAGTCGAACTATGCCTGCCAGTCTGTCCGTCCGTCTGTCCGTCCGTCCGTCCGTATGAACACCTGGATCTCAGAGACTATAAGAGCTACAAACACAAAATTTTCCACAAAGATGCCTTACGTGTTTACGCTGTGTAAGTTTGTTGTATTTTTTAGATTTTCCCCCCACATTCCCCCTATGGGGGCTTACCCGATTTTCGGTTCGTATACTCACCTTTATCTCGGAGACTATAAGACCTAGGGACACCACATTTTAGTCCAAGATACCTTATGTGAATATGATGAAAATGTGTATTTTGGAATTTCCCTACCTCCTGTAGTTGCCATAGGAATCGGTGCAGAAATGAGCTTAGTATCTGTATCGTCATCGAATTTGGTATTTTTGAGTTTTTTATAGTGGCTCTTTAAAATCGGAAGCTCTACCAAAATTGGCAAACTATATTATAAAACTGATATGGGCATGATTGATAGAAATTTAACGCTCTTTTTTAAACTTGATTACGATTTTAATTTTCGATTAATAGTGCGTATCATTAACTCTATTTCTAGTAACTCAATGAATTGTTGGCCAACTTCTTCTAAATTAGAAAGGAAAAACGGCACAAAATTATTCAATTCATAGCAATACATGGGGCTATATATATAATTTATATTTGTTATATTTTATCATTTTATTTGTAATTTGTCTCTTTTTTTGTCAATAATACTGCTGTTATTGCAGTCTCAAATAATCGCTGGTTCGAACACCACGGAAAGGTTTGTCCTGGTAAGCGGGACTTAGCTGATCTGGGATTGCATAGGTACTAGCTCTTGGCAAACAGTTCCAAATGCTGTTTTGCATAAATAAATGAACTTATGTGTGAGCCCAAGTCGTATTCTACCTACGAGTAAGTATTTCCAATAAAAGTTGTAGTATTACTTGTAAGCCCATGTCGCTGCCCTTGTGGGATAACTTTGATTCCGTATGGCAGCAAAGTTCTGAAGCCGAATTCAACCTGTTAATATGCAGTTAAACCGATATAGGAGCAACAATAACGGCACTTTATCTAACACACACACACACACACACACACGCACGCGTCCAGGATATGCAATCAAAAAGTTCGTTCCACATACGCAGCGTTGGGCGCAGAAAGTTTTGGAAACACGCAACTTCTGCCTCGTTGGCAACTTTTTCTGAACAGTTTTGTGGCAATGCCATTGTCGCAAGCATTAATCAAACGTTAAACTACACCAATAATACATGGTTAAGGCCAACTTTCTGGCGGGGCTTAGCCGACTGCCTGCCACACCTCCTCGTCCTGTCCTCGTCCCGTCCTCGTCCTCGTCCGTTTTAAAGGCAACGAAATGCGGCAAATTAAAACTGTCAAGCGGTAAATGCGATGCTGGCAGTTCGCTGGCTTTCAAATGCAAATGGAAAGGCAGCATCCGAACGCATTCTCTCAACCTACAAGTAAGCCCTATTCCCATCTTTGTCCCCGTGCTGATTCTGGCCGCGTCCTGTGCTCCAGCCCCAACATAGCGCAACTTTTTTGTATTGTCTCTGAACTTTTTTTTTGCCAGTGATTTTTCTTCAGCTAGTAATTCTTTCCTCTTTTGTTTCTTTTGGCCACGTTTAGCATTCGTTTAGCATGCGCGACGGCAGCGACCGCGATGCTCGCATTAATTAAAATTACACAGCGCGCCCCGCGGCCACAGTCCCAGGTCCTTTCTTTGCTTTCGTTTGGTTTGGTTGTGGTGCGGTGTGGTGTGGTCTGGTCTGGTCTTGGGTTTCCATAAATTAAAGGCGCTTATGAATTTTATGAATTATTTGCCATGTAGCGGCATTATTATGATGACGAATTTGTTCCATTACATCCATGATACCCCCTGACATGCCTCTAAATAGGCAGCCACGACATGATCCGCCCCGGGTCGCTAGCTCCAATGAGTGCCAGTACGCCCACGGCGCGCGTCGCTCTTATTGAATTTCATTAACATGTGCCCAACGACTCATTTAATTACAAAATACGAGCACAGCAAAAAAAAAAGGAAAAAAATTCAAAATACTATTGCAATCATTTGCATACATGCGCTGCACATGTCTGTGCATGCTTAACTATGCTCATCAGCGACACCAACAGCAACAGCATAAGCAACCAACCCCAACCCCACCCCAATTGCCAGCTCCCAGCTCCTTCCTCCCAGCCCGTACTGCTGCACTCACTTAATTTTATGCCAAAACAATGACACGCCATAAATTTAAACGGATTTGTGTTGTGCCGCGAGCAAAGTGCGCGTCGTTCCCGTCCAACCCCCGTGCGGGACGATGTGGGTCGGAGTGGGTCGAAGTGGGTCGGACTGGGTAATGGCAGCCGTAGTCACTTGTCTTAGCAGCACGTACATATGCAACGTTTTTTGAGCGTTAAATGCTTTTCAACTTGAAAGTTTCAAGTCGAAACTTTGCCAAGCTAAAGCGACACGGAGTCCAATGGACGAACACCACCCTTTAAAGCAATCGGGTTCCAGTTTAAATTTCCCAAATGCAAATGCGAAAAATAGTAAATGAATTGAAGTGAAATTCTCTTTGCTTTAAAGACAGGCATTGACAATAATTAGTTGCCGTACCTTTCTGACATCGTTATAAGTATAATAATAGTGGTTCACGAACTCCGGCTGAGTGCTAATTTAGGACACTAAATGAACCTCAGTTTCGTTTAAAGACAAATATGTTAAAAAACAGAGTACCTGATTGAACACTACACTCAAAAAAAAGTTGCATAGCACAGATGAATATTATATATCTTCAATTTAATTTATATATTCAATTTAAAATTCAAATCAAATATAAACAACGTAAATTTAAGTAAAAAAAATATTCAATTACTGATTTAAATATGAATAATATTCAAAACAAAGTGTAAAACTCCGTTATTAAAGATTTCATTTTTGATCATATTTAATATTAATATATTCAAATAACAAATAGATACTATATTCCATAGTAAATTTTAATATTTTTCTCAACTTTCATTTGCAGTTTTTTGTAGTCGATTTAAATATATTAAATTTTATTCGAATATTTTCAAATGTAAAATGGAGACAAGCATTGACTAGAATTCTCAAGTCGGTTTCAGCTGTTGTATGGTATAAATACAGAGTGTCATAGTACAAGTATATGGTCGTTACGAATGAGTCAAGTAAGTGTATTCAATCAGCTATTCCTCACTTCTAATTAATTTCAGCATTGAGCTAAGATTTAAAAAGCGGAAAACGTCAAAAGTTTATAATAACAAAAAAGATTCGTAAATTACTTTCTAATTAAAATGGGTTCTACAATATAAATAGACATAGTATAATTGATATGCGCATTTACAAAATAATATTAAAAACAATTAGTAGTAATGTTGTTAGAAGAGTAGACAAAAAAGTGGGAAGCATATTTTATTTTTCATCACACTTTAAATGTAATATTTCAATGTTAAACTTGAAATTGAAGTGTGCACGCTTTATATAAAATACACTGTGGTAAAAAATCGATGGTAAAAGTATTAAAATGTACGTGGTTTTTTTTTATCAGTGTACGCTTTAAAAATCTCAAATCTCTGGCTACACCTATAGAACACCAATTTATACAAGTAGTTAACAAACT